ATCCTGAAGACACCACAGTCTCTGCTGACCTTCATTCAAAAGAAACTGAACCTGGAACCCCTGGAATCTCTTACCACCAGAGATTGGGGTGGTGTGCAACAGTAGTCTTTAGTTTTTGCAGTTGCCATGTTTTATTCCTGTTCTGTACATCTCACGTTTTGCTTTGCTGTGTGACGTTTCAAAGGAAGTCTTTTCTTTTCAGGAAGGAAAATGGGATGATTTGGGGGACAGGGACGGAGCAAAACATCAGCCTGTGGGGACCGCCCTGAGGCCCCCCAGATAGCAATTCTCCACTCAGCTCCTGCCTGCTTCTCAGCCCTCCCTGACCCCGGACAGCTGCCACGCGCTGGCAAGTTCAAGCCAGGAGCTGCGATGCGTTGGGCTGGTGAGTAATAGCTTCTTATTGGAGTGTGAAGATCTTCCTATTTTCCTGATTTATGCCGCATTTAAACTTTCAAAATCCACTTAGCTGAAGGAGGCCTGGGAGCCAAGCCCTCTCTGCAAATGACCTGCCTCCTCTCGCCCTGATATCTCTGAGGCAGGAGATGGAATAACTTACACTATCTATTTCCATCGTATTATGCCAGGCAGGGGCTCTCCATCACAGCCCGCCTTCCCTCACTCTCTCTTTCTCTCCCTGCTAGCAGTCTCTTTTCTACCTTTCCAAGTGAGGAGGGCCTGGACTGAGCCAGAATGGGCCTAGCTGAGCTTATTAGGAAGGGTCTTGGCTTCCAGCTCCCTGTGAGATGGATCTGGGAATCACAAAACACCAGGCACCAAGCCTAGCCTGATCCCTCTTCATTTCCAGGTGGCGGGTGCTTCTCGCTTTCTTCTGTAATAGAGATGTTCTTTCAGGTTTACGATCTGTCGCTCAACATATCATGAAGGAGGAGATGCCAAGCAGGGCCACTCTTATCATTTCACCATGAAAGGGAGCTGGGAAATGGCAGCCTTGAGGCATGGAAATGGAAGATATTTTGCCCATTTGCATGTGAAGCTGTGAACGGCCATGAGCAGGGGCGGGGGAGACAGGCACGGCTGGCAGAGCTTTGCTATGGTTCCTCCAAACCACAGTTGCTCACCACACCTTGCCATGGTTTGACCCCATTGCCTTTCTTCTGGACTGGGAGCCACACCCCTCCCTCCCATCCCACAGCATTGCCAGCTGTGGAGGATCTGAGTAAGGCTGGGGCTTTGGCAGTTCTTGAATCCCAAATAGGCCTCAGCAATCTTTGAATGCCCAAGGCCATCCTTGTTGTTCAGGCCCAGAAAACTGGTTGACAAATGAGTTTGGGGCCAAACGAGCAACACCCTCTGTGGGGAACACCTGACATTTCTAGGAAGGTTTATTCTTTACAGACAAACAAAAGGCACCCCCAGAGTTTGGTTCACACATGAATGTTCCCCCTTCCTTGGTGCCTGCAGTGTGTGAATCACTGATGGGCGCACTGCCACTGATGCCCCACTCACCAGCTGTGCAGCAACCTAAGAATAATGAGACTGTCCTGCAGCAGAGGGCTAGTATCTCTTGTGGGGGGCACATTGTGCTCCTTCTGGTGTAGGAGCCATGTTTGGTTCACTCCCTGTACTCAGGTCTCACTATGGGCATAGCCGGGGGGACAGGGGCAGCTGCCCCCCTAGGTCAAGTAAAACAATAGAAATAACTAACTGACCATTCACATCAGTTGTGCCCATCTAACAAAAGTCCTGCCCCCCCCAACAAAAAATCCTGGTCACGCCCATGGCTCTCACCTGTGGCTCCTAGAAGCTGTCAGCTTGTGACAGTGGCCACACTCTAGGAATGGCTTCAACTGAAACCTTGGGTCTCAAACCCCAAACTTCCCCTGCATGCAAAGACAGGCTCCGGTGGGTTGAGCAGACAAAACCAGTAGTGGGTCCAATGGTCAAGAAGGCATGTTCTGCACATGCTGTAGAGGGAGGTGAGGGGCAGATGGGGCTCATCAACCTGGAAAGGTAGCCCATCATCTAGGAGAAGGACAACTCTGATCCTAAAGTCCTGCTGCTTTGTGCGATATGTTCGGGAGAAGAAAGGGCTAAGGAGTAAACCCTACACAAATTCAGAGTGGATTCCTCAAGACAGTTGGATGGCTCCTTGTACGCCTCCAGCGACTCCTGCAGCCAAGCTGGTGCCAAACATATTGCTCTGCTTTCTTTTGGACCAGACTGAGTGGGGAGTTGTGTCATCTGGTCAGCCTAGGACCCCCATACACTTTGCCCAGGCATGTGCCCCAGAAAGGTCACTTTGGTGCTGCTAACACAGTCATTTGACTTCACACCTGGAGGCACACACCACTGTCTCTTGTGACATATGCCAACAACTCTGCAGCCTTCCATGGTGTGGTGAAAATTGTGGGGTGTGAAACACAAAGTAGTCAAATACAATATTCCTAGAGTGGGCATAAAAAGGGGATGTCTGGACCAGCCAGTTGGAACTTCCTGTTTCCTCCTGGGCTGGGACAAACTTCCTCTACATGTGACCAGAGGTGGGCGTGACCTCACCTATGCAGGTAACAAAATAGCACAGGGGAGGCAGCCATCTCTCTCTCTGACTCCATTCCTCGAAGAAGCAACATCTCCTTAGCCTGAGATGCTCTCTTGGCTTCCAGCCAAGAGAGGACAAAGGAACTATCTCCTTATGGGATAGATTCCATGTGTATATATTTTGTAACCTAAGTCTGCCTTCTGGGATCCATCTCTGAACATGATGTGTGAGTAAACTATTTTATACTTATATACAAGACTGTGTTGTGTCTATTCTTTTTAAGAGGGAATAAAGGGGAATTATCAGGAAACTTATTTTAGAGGCTTATACAAGCCTGACAAACCTGTCCGCTGTGAAAGTTTAAAAGGGGAATGCTACTCTGCTAAATTGTAGAACTTGTTAACACAAGTTGGGAAGGATATAATGAAACAATATATCCTCTCCTGTCACCCTGAATATTCTGACAAAAATGTATAGTGAAAAGCTATTCTCCTTCTCCCAGACACCAGACCTCGTAGGCATCCAATGAAGCTGAATGTTGGGAGATTCAGGGAAGATAAAAGAAAGTCCTTGTTCATGCAACGTGTTAAACTATGGAAACCACTTTCCCAGGAGGAAGTGATGGTCACCAACTTGGATGGCTTCAAAAGAGGGTGAGAAGAATTCCTGGAGGAGAAGGCTATTGATGACTCCAAGCCACAATGACTCCCCCCCCCATCAGAGGCAATATGCCTCTGAGTGATACCAGCTGCTGCAAGTGGGAAGAGTCCTCCTCCTGCTGCTGTTGCACTCAGATCCTCCTTGGGGACTTCCCAGTGGATGGTGGCACTTGGCTGGCTACAGTGAAAAGAGGATGCTGGGCTAAATGAGCGCTTGGCTTGTAATGTGCAGGCTGGCACAATAGAACAGGAAAAGGGTATCAAGGGAGTAATTAATCTGTGCTAAGGGAGCTGGAGCAGTGCTGTCCCCTTGCAAAGCAGTCCTGCAGAGAGAAAGAGGGGCAAGAGAAAGATGCAATCATGTGCGTGCACACGCCCATACACCACACACTTCCCAGGAATAACCTCTGCAAAAACACCAGGTTGAGCCAGGCTTGCTTTGCTCCTTCCAGGACTTGTCAAAGCCGGAGAAGAGCCTCCTTGCTCGGCCTGTCAGTCCCAGTCTTGCGTTTCCCTAACACCCGTAAGGGAGCCGAGGGGGGGAATCCACCAGTTACAGAAAATGATTTACAGGAACGCCCAGGCTCTCCATTTCAGCGGTCTCATGTGGACCATAAAAATATATTAGAAAGGAATAATCTTTATCTGGACTGGAGCTGCGAGCAGAACCGCTTGTCCAGCGGAGAGCAGCAGCGAGCTGAAATCTCGCTGCTGCTGCTCTTGGGTAGCCAGGCCGGACAGGAATCCTGGGAAGGGTTTATGGACGCCACGGATCAGGACACGCCACCATTCCCTTCTCCAAACAACGCGCCTGTCAGATGCTCAGAGTCAGCCCGCGAGCGCCGTCACCGCCGCCTGGCTAGGCGAGCAGGACCTAACAAGCCCCGCCGAAGGAAAGCCTCCTTCGTGCAAGAAGCCTCTTCCCAAGTCACGTGTGAACTCGGGTCTCTGGCTTCCCTTCTCAACTTACGGGCTATGCAACCTGCCTCGGCCCGGAGGAGAGTAGCGGTCAAGAGCGGGAACGCTGAGCAGGGGTGGGGCATGTCCAAATGCCACTTCCGACGCAGCATGGCCAGAGCATTACTCGCGGAATGTCCGGCCCAAGGATCAGATAGGCGCATCACACGGAGGTGACATCGCTAATTTCGTCACACAAACACACACAGAGCACCCAGGCCAGGTAGGCCACTGCTGTTCCCAAGGGGGAAACTGGGGCAGAGAGGAAGCCATGTGTCCCGAGCCAACCAGCGAATCGACACCCCATTCTAGAGGCAAACGGCTCTGAACCCCCTCGCTGCGTCCGGCTTCGGAGGCGGAGGCGGTTGGCTGTCCTTGAGCCGCCATCTCCGTAGGCACCTCTTGGGACCGGGCTAGCCGAGAAAGCTCCGGTAGACCCTTCCCAGCAGGTCAGGGTCTCTGTGGGTGGGCTGCCGGAGCTAGTAGCTGCCGGGCCCGCTGCTTCGTCCCCGCCCCAGCAGACAGCCCTCGCCGCGTCCATCCTCCGTCCATCCCTCCCTCGTCCCGCCCCGCCCCGCCGCCGCCCCGCCTCCTGCTCAGCACCCAGCACAAACTTTCGCCGGGGACTCCCTCGCTCGGAAGCAGCAGCAGCAGGAGGAGCGGGAGCAGCAGGAGCAGCAGCAGCCTCGGCTGGGCAGACGCGGGGCCCGCCCGGGCGGCTGTGCCATGCGGGGCTCCCCCCGAGCAGAGGCGGCGGCTGGGGGGCCGGGGGCCGGCAGGAGCAGCAGCAGGAGCAGCGGCGGCGGCGGGCCGTGCGGCCGGGGGCGGCGGCCGGCGGGCGGCTGACAGGATGCGGCCGGGGCTGGGCACGGGCAGGCGGCATGGCCCCCCCGCCTAAGGGCCCCCCCGCCCGCAAGCTGCTCTGCATGTGCAGCCTCTCGCTCTGCCTCACCTACGCCTGCTACAGCCTCATGGGCGGCCCCGGCGCCCTCCCCTCGTCCCCGCTCGCCCCGCAGGGCTCCCCGCTCAGCCCCTCTGCCGCCGACACCCCTCCGCCGCGCAACGGGAGCCCCGCGTGGCTACGTACCCCTTCGCCGCCCTCTGTCTCCGAGGCCACCGAGCCCAGCCGCGCCTGGACCGAGACAGACCCACCCTCAGCCAGCAGCCCCAGCAGCGCCCCGGACCGGGACCTCGGTGTTGGCGGCGACAGCAGCAGTAGCAGCGCCAGCGTTGCTGCCGCCGCGGGCTCCGAAGCTGCCGCCGCCGCTGCCACCGCCACGCCGGACTACGGGGAGAAGCGGCTGCCGCAGGCGCTCATTATCGGCGTGAAGAAGGGGGGCACCCGCGCTCTGCTGGAGGCGCTCCGAGCGCACCCCGACGTCCGCGCCGTGGGCACCGAACCCCACTTCTTCGACCGCAACTACGATAAGGGCCTCGACTGGTACAGGTGAGCAGCGCGCGGGCGCGGGAAGGGGGCACTCGCCGGGTAAAGGCGCCCAGAGGTTGCGCTGGCACCGAGGAAGAGCGAGCATGGGGGTCCACCTCACTCAGTATTGTCCACACGGGCTGGCGGCAGCTCTCCGGTGATCCAGACAGGATCCGTTTTGCAGCCTGACCCGGAGATGCTGCCGCGGATTGAAACGGGGCCTTTCTGCTCTGGCTCGGAGTAATGGCTAGGACTTTCCGGCGGCCGGCCTTGAGCCTCCTGGTGGTGGCCAGAAAGCGGGGCCCATGTCGCCGCAAGGTCCCTGGGCCAGGGCGATTGGAGCTTGCCCCCTCCGGAACCAAGCTTAGCCCTGGGTGGGTGGCGGGCTCCGTCCCTCCGGGACAGGAATGTCGCCTCCGAGGGTTCGATTTCTCCTTGGGGCAGTTCACCTTCGCGAGTGGCAGGGCTTTTGCCGCCACGTGTTGCCCTACACTCTTGGCTTGGGAATCCCAAGGGAGAAAGTTCGTTCTCTCCCGGCGCTTTAGGGCAGCCTCTGGCTCCCACTTGCTTAGACGTGTTACCCTGCAAGCCAGGAACCTAGGCTGGGAAAAGACCACCTCCCCGAGAGGCTAGGTGATGTGGTCTGAGAGCTGCTCCCGCCGCGGAAGGGTATCAAAGCAAGCGAGGCGTGGAGCTTGTTTGCGCAGCGCTGTCCATGGTCCTGAAAGCCGCCCTGTTGTGGAGAAGGGACCAGCAATGCTTGGGAGAGCCGAGGGCCGAGTGCAAAGCTTGTGACGGGCCAAAAGACCTGAGCGACTCTCCCTGCCCATGAGCCGCAGGTGGCTCCTTGCTTGTCAAAACGCAGTTAGGGAGTCAGGAGTCCTTGTAGTGCCACAGGGGAGCTCAGCTCAGCTCTCCTCCTGAGAGCCGCTTGCGCGTGTCCCTTTCATTTTAAGAAGATTGTCCAGCTATTCAAAGCTGTTCACAATATTTCGGAAATGTCCCCAAACAAAGTCATGCTGCGTTCCACCCTCCCACTCACCCCTGTTCCAAGAACAGCAAAGTCTTAGACGTGGTCGAAATTGGGGTTGGAAAGCGGCCCCGTGCCCCTGTGCAATTGAAAACGCAATCCTGATCCCCTGGGATAAGAACTTTGTGTTGAAACGCTCTGAGTATTACCACCACCACCCGGTTTTGCAGTAAAATGCTGTCCAAGGTGCGCTGTCCAAAACGGGCTCTTCTGAATCCCTTCCTGGGGCAGAAAGCAGAAATTCCTCAAGGCGGGTTGAGGGCAGAGTTATGAGCTCCGTGCGAGGTGTCTCCCTGTCCAGCAGGGACTCTACGCCTCTAGGCAAGTTTTCTGAGGGAGATTTGAAGGCTTCAGCCGCCCCTCAGGTTTCTGTGCCTGAGCGCTAAGCCTGCCTTGTTCATGAGCCAAGGAGTCCGAGGAGAACCGGGTTGCTGATGGGAAAGGAGATCCCCGCAGCCACTTGCCTGCGCTGTAAAGGTGAGAGGAGCGGGCAGGAGGAGGGATGGGGACCCTCTCGGATGGGGCGTCCTCAAATAGCCAAGGCTTCATTTTATTGAGCGCCCCCCTCATGTGTTTTTGCTGAGGTGTAAATTATTATTATCACCTTTAGTTCGTTAGTCTCTTGTTACGCACAAAGGTCTCCATGTGACTCGCAACATATTTGAAAGCTTAAATAAAAAGGCACTATAAAACTTAGGCAAAGTGCATGCAGTTCATTAAGAAATATAATGAATAGATGGGCTGGAAGGGCCAGTGCGAGGCAGCCAGTTTGTTGCGGGCGGGGGCCACAGAGGCGGCTTTGCTCTGGGGCCTTCCTGCTTTGCGAGTGGCAGAAATGGGGGGCGCCGGGGGGGCTCGATCGGCGATAGCTTCCTTCTCCTGAAATAAGGTTTTAGACCGATTATGGTGTCAGAATAGCAGCTAGCAGAATAGCAATAGCAGCTGGGGGTGCGTGCGTGGGAATGCCCCAGAGGGGTCCAGGGCACCCAGACCCACCGCGGGTGCAGCTGTGCCTGAGCCCCCGCTTCTCTTGGGCAACTTGAAGTCTTCCTCTGGGGCATCCGAGAACAGGAGCAATTGGTGGATACCCCGGAAGAAGCCTTACAGTGACACGATGCTCCCGTTGGTGTTTCCAGGAGGGTTTTCTCCCGGCACATCGCCTTAGATGTACTGTAAAGGGGAGGCTCGTGTCTTTCTGTCGTTCGTGCGCGAATCTCTTCGGAATGGTAGTTTGCAACTCCGGCCCCCAGACCCCTTCCACCGATCTGCTGCACAGAAGGACCCTTTGCTCTCCTTGCGCAAGGGAGTGGATGGAGGAGCCACAAGCTGCCTGATGGGCTCTGCAGCCGGCCCCTCCTGCTCCTCCTCCCCTCCCCCATCCCCGCCTGGGCAACGAGAACACCAAGCTTCCTCCAGGCTGTTGATCCCACATTCTCTGTCATTTGCTCTGTGTGTGGCTAATCCGGTTCAGTTCAGAGCCAATTATAATTGGGTGTCTCCGAGTCTAAGATATCTGATTGTGTCTGTATGGCTTTGCTTGCACGTTGCAGAGAAATCAATGGAGTCCCTTTCACAGCAGGCAATGCTTTTCCAAGGGTTGTGGGAGCCTTGGGCTTGCTGTGCCAAAGTGTCATGCCTGGGCCAGGGATTTAAGCTGGGGTGCCACCCATGCATATTAACAGGCTGCTTCTTAGTGTATGTGATAAGGGAGAACTGGCTGTATCCTCCAGTAGTTCTCTCCTCGCCACCCGCCACCCTCCTTGTCACCAGAGAACCTGCTTAGAAGGTTGTTACACTGAGTAAGGTTGTTGCAAGAAAGTGCTGCCCCATAGGGCCCCTCACCCCACCCCATTTCACCCCAATGAAAGGACAGGCAAAGGCACCCACTGGCAGACACCATCCAAATGATGGCACAGATACATTTACCTGGTTTATTTGAAAAAGGAGGTAAATGTTAGCTCTTTCTTTCACATTTGCACAGCCTATAATATCACAAAACAGCTTTTCAAGATGCACAACCTTTTAATTCAAAGCTAGTTAAATGTGTAAGGCCTGTTCTTCTGATGCAAACTTGCAACAGATTCCTTTCAAGCTACTGCTTTTTCAGTTTTTTTAATTACTAATCCTAAAGTTACCTGTCAGTCTAAGGACATGTGAGCAATGGATCAACCTTACATGCAGGTGGGTGGGCTACACCACTGACTCACAGCTAAGCTGAGACAGACACATTTCAATGGGTCTACTCTGAGTAGGACTTAGTTGGCTGCAACACTTCCCGTCTAGAGTGTTTTGTTACTCAAAATCATCTCAAGGTGTTTGTGTGCTACCAGCTTGCATATTGAGCACCCCAAGAATTGTGAGGTTGGCTGCGACATTCAGTTTTGGTGTCTGTTCCAGTGGCCTGTTTTCCAGTGGCCTGTTTTACCCACAGCTCAGATTTTGGTGATGAGGGGAAAGTGTGCGTGGTAGGAGTCACTTGAGGTTGCTTCCAGGTGGAGAACGTGAATTAGGAGAGGAAGGTTGCAATAGGCAGAGGGGGAATGACTCAAGAGCAGAATAAAAGACAATCAGTTCAGCTGCCTACACAGCTCTCTGTTTTGGAGGCCCAAATGCTTGCTGACTGATGACAGTCCTGAATTATCTGCACAGAAGGTTGTGCTGTGTGATGGTTCCTTTTGCCTCCTGGTTGATACCACCCAGTAGAGCAGAGCAGCTTCGTGAATGAAAGCTCTGCACACAAGGCAGCAGAGTCCATCCTGATACTTTTGGTATGTTGGGCTCCACACTGTCTCTACAGGAAGGAATTGGCTACTTCTGATAGACACTGGTGACATAATGCCCTCCGATGTGGGCATGTCCTGTGGCATCTTCTTCTTTCTGTTAAGGAATTAATGATTTGTTTTGCAGAAATCCTTAGTATTTGGGGGTGTTCACCTGCACTTAAATTACATCCTTGTGGTATGAGAACAACAAAAATAAAAATATATTTTGCTTGCCTTTATGGTGATCGAGAAACTGGCTGTGAGGCCAGAAAGACACACTCTTCACCATCTCCTACTCAGGGGTCAGAAAATCTCACTGCCCCTTCTACAGCTTATAATCATCACTCTCACTGAGATGCCTATTTGGACATATGGACTTCTTATATTAATCTATTTGTTTAAATTAGAACAGATGGGAAGTTCTTCTTGTTAATGTAAGCCGGCTTAAAAAAACCACACCTTTTATCCTTTCTGTTTGCTATATCAGCAACAACTACAGAAGTTCATCGCACAAAACTGGGCAAGTGCCACCCCTGCCTGGCACAAGGACATCTCTTTCCTCCAAGCCTTCAGTCTTAAAGAATAACCCTGTGTGATCTGAAAGCTTGCTTCAACCAGACCTTAGTGCTTCGCAGACTCTGTGTGCTTGGCTCACTGAATGACTCTCTCATTCATTGACTGGATAATTTACTTTGAATATAGTCATAAACATAGAAATGCAGTGGGTGCGGTTGCGAAATGGAGTCCATTTTCTGCAAGCCCCCTTTGATGGGTTGGGCTGCAGGACAGACTTGGAAGCCTTTGGGCTCTCAGCAGCCAGGAGAGCTGGCATCCGCAACGCCTGCTCCTTCCTGTTAACATTGGAGAGATTTTGAAAGCATCTGGACTGGGGCAGTGTGTTTTTCTTCCTGCCTGGTGATATAAACCATTCCAACCCCTTGGCAGTTCCTGCGTTTTGGCGGATGCTTCTTGTGTGTCTGGAGGGGGAAGGTGTGTTCTATATCTGCTCGCTTCTTATATCTTTGGGAAGGGCTATTGATTTTCTTGGCTCCTGCTGAGTGCTGTTCTGTATCGCTGAGAGGGGGGGGGCGTTTCAGGTGCATCGTGGATCCGTTGCGCTGAGGATGTCTTGGGCTGTGGAGGAAAACAAACTGCCCCAAAGATCCATGGAAACACATGTGCATCCCTGCTCTTTCTTATTACCTTTTGATCCCACCTTTTTTCTTCAAGGTGATGCTAGGGTGGGGCTCCTTTCAGTGAGGTCTCCTCATCTAAGGACCAACTCATCTTTGGGTCCAAGAGAGAAGCAGGAGGAGGAGGTTGTAAGCATGATGCAATTTAAGATATACTGTATCAGTCTAAACAGCAAGTCTGTAGAGACAGGTGACAGGTTAAAGGTACAAGGATATTCTGGGAATGTGGAGGTCCCTCGCTTTATCTGTCTTAACCCCATGCCATGTCCTCTTCTGCAAGCTGAGTTGCAACCAAACTTCCAACCTATTGGCCATGACCTTGCCAGGGCCCATGCTTTGAAGAACACCAGCTGCAGGGGAAGGTCGTTCCCCTTGTGCCTTGCTTATGAATGGGCAACCAGACACAATGCCAACAGATGATGATGTTTAAAGTTTCTCTCTTTTTTTTTAAAAAAAAAGATATTTATTAAAGTTTCAAAGAAAAAATTACATAGATAAAAAGAAAAGAAAAAGAGAAAAAAATAAAAAAGAAAAACTACAAAATACAGAAAAAAGATAGAAAACACTTAAAAAACACATAAATCTTTCCATACCTTACATTTCATTTCCTTGCTTCCCTGACCTCCTCACACCTCCCTTTTTTGTATTCCAGTTCTATTAGTTAATTCAGCAATTCCTTTCCCTCTTTGTTTTTGTCTTAATCCTTTAACTTAATATATTATAACTTTGGATTCTCACCTGTTAACAATCCATTTTTACATACACCTTTATAACATTGCTGCTAAAACCACTTAACTTCATTCTGACATCATTCTAACATTCATTAATTTTGCAGTATTTCTGTAAATATTCTTTAAATTTCTTCCAATCTTCTTCCACCGACCCTTCTCCCTGGTGTCGGATTCTGCCAGTCATTTCCGCCAGTTCCATATAGTCCATCACCTTCATCTGCCATTCTTCCAGAGTGGGTAAATCTTGTGTCTTCCAATACTTTGCAATAAGTATTCTTGCTGCTGTTGTAGCATACATAAAGAAAGTTCTGTCCTTCTTTGACACCAATTGGCTGACTATGCCCAGGAGAAAGGCCTCTGGTTTCTTCAAGAAAGTATATTTATATACCTTTTTCATTTCATTATAGATCCTCTCCCAGAAAGCCTTAATCCTTGGGCATGTCCACCAAAGGTGAAAGAATGTACCTTCAGTTTCTTTACATTTCCAACATTTATTATCGGGCAAGTGATAGATTTTTGCAAGCTTGACTGGTGTCATGTACCACCTGTATATCATTTTCATAATATTCTCTCTTAAGGCATTACATGCCGTAAACTTCATACCTGTGGTCCATAACTGTTCCCAGTCAGCCATCATTATGTTATGTCTGACATCTTGTGCCCATTTAATCATAGCAGATTTCACCGTTTCATCCTGAGTATTCCATTTCAACAGCAAGTTATACATCTTTGACAAAATCTTAGTTTTGGGTTCTAACAGTTCTGTTTCTAATTTTGATTTTTCCACCTGGAAGCCAATTTTCTTGTCCAAATTGTATGCCTCCATTATCTGATAATAATGAAGCCAATCTCGCACTTTTCTCTACCATCTTTCATCTGAAGACCACGGGGTAGTTTGCAATATAAAAAGACAAAAAATATATAACATAATAGCAAACAAAAGCAATAACCCCCCCCATACACAGTTTAAAAGGTCATAGATTGTTTAATTAGCCAAGGGTCTGGGAGAAGAGAAATATATTTGCCTGTCACCTACATATATGTAACAAAGGTGCCTGTTGAGTCTTACAAAGAAGAGCATTCCACAAGTGGGGAGCCACTGCAAAAAAGGCCTGTTCTCGTGTTGCCACCCTCCAGACCTTTCATGGATGAGGCACACAAAGAAGGGCCTCAGATTATGATCTCATCAGGATCCTAGTCAGTTCATATGGAGAGAGGTGGTCCTTGAGGTATCGCAGCCCTGAACTATTTAAGACTTTACAGGTCAGAACCAGCACTTTGAATTGGGCCCTGAAACTAATTGGCAGCCAGTGCAGTTGGGCCAGAATTGCACCTGTCCCCTACCTGGAGCCAGAGGTTTTTGACTACAACACTCATCAGCCCCAGCCAGCTGGCCCTGGCTGCCTTAATTTCTGAGTTAGATAATCTGAGGTCTTATTCGTTGTCCCACTATGGCATATGTCATGCCAAAGACACTTATGGGCAGTGGCCAAGGTCTTGGGACTGCAATAGAGATAGCTCAGTGAGCTCCTAACTGGCCAAAAAGGAGCTTCACCCAATGGGAAATCTGAAGTTTCACATGTGGGCTGAGCTGCATGTCCCATTTGGATTTCCTGCTCCCTTTTTTTGTGACTGTGAGAGGCACCTTGAGTGTGAAGCAGGCACCCATTTTCATGCCCCTTGCACCTCCTACTCCATCATCCATAGGCTCCCACAGGAGGAAGGGCAGAATAGTCATGCACTAAATAAAAAGACTATTCTCTGGTTTAGGCAACAGGAAAGTCAGTAGTGGGTGCAGTTAGGTGAATTAATGGTACTATAGATATGCAAAAAGCAGGGCCCCTCCCATGCCCCATGCCTGCTGGAGAAAGAGCAGCATTCACTGCTCCCTGGGAACAGCCAAATGACTTGCTTCCTAGGAGAACTGGAGGCGAAGGCCTTGAAGGCTCCAAGTGAGAGCTGTGGCGGTGGCGCACGGCAACACAAATTGGTGACACCTTGTATGGAGGGAGGACTGAATCTCCTGCGTTGCTCTGTGGCTTTCTTCCTTCCTCTTGTTGTCATGGGGACCTTCCCCCTTTTTTCCCTGAGTTATTATACTGTGCACTTCAGCAGAAATTTTATTGCTTTTGGGGCTGGTGGGGCTCATGTGGGACATTTTTCACTGCTCATGGTGCAGTGGTAATTTCTTTCAAATGATTTTTGCTTGAAGTGGTTTCAATGAATTGAGAAGGGTATGAGTATGAATGAACGGCTAAGCTTTTAGCACCGAATCCAGCGGAGGGACACACACCATCAAACTTCCTCGAGCATTCACTGTGGATATTATAATTTTGCTGGCACTACATAAATAGGCAGCGGGCCACCGTAATTTAAAATCTTCTTTGAAATCTGCTTTTCTATCCTCTTTGTAATGTATTGCATGGAGTCCCCAATGACCCCCAAAGTTTCATTGGCAATTTATTTCCACTATCCAAAGTTTTAACCTTCATCCTGTTATCCAAGCCCTTTCCGCCTGCTGCTGTAAAGATTAGGCTGTAAGAAGCTGGGAACTTGCCTCTTGCCTTAGATCTTCAAGGGGTGGGCAAGGTGGCCGTAGTGCAGCCCTCCAGGCCCTCTCTGTAGCCCTGTGGACTTTTCCCAGACCATGTCCAATCCCTGGTCCTGCTCCACATGCTCTTCCAGTGTCCCTGCCTGGCTGGAATGTGTCCTTGGATTGTCACAATCCTGCTTGCCTGGGTAGAGAGATGTACACTTAAGAGAGCTCTGTGCCTTGCATGGATGAACTGCAGCTACAGTATAGTCACACCTGTTACCCTGCCAACACTGGCATGTGGCCCCTGGATCGTGCCCATGAGGAAATTTGGCCCTCAGGTTGAAAGAGATTTCCCAACCCACTGAAAGGAGGTGCCTGAGGATGGTGCCACCTGGAGACCTCCCCTACTGATGGGTCCCATAGTCCATTGCCTCTGCCTCATTCCAGCCATGCAGGAGACAGGTTGGCCCTTTTGCCTGCTGGAAATCTTTAGCATTGTGTGCCAATGGGGTACCTGCAGCCCTTTCCACATAAAGGCTTGAGATACCTGCTTCCGTCCCACTCCACACCCCATGAGAGCTACTGAGGTCTGGTGGATGCAACGGTAGGCTTTGATCTGGGAGACTTGAACCCCTCTACCCATTCTTGGCCATTGCCCCTGGGTAGATCAGTCTATCTATCATTCTCCCAGCCTCTGTTTCTCATCTGCAAAGTGGGAATAATTTAGAGCTATGCATGATCTTGCATATTTCCCATGCAGGTCTAACACCAGTGCTGTGGAATGAGGGAATCAGTGGAGAGAAGGTTCTGCCCCCTTAGCCACTTCTGGTCACCCTACTGGAAGCTGCTTTCCTTCATCTAAGTGAGCCAGTGTGTGGTAGTGAGAGCTGTCACCCAAAATATCTGGAAAAAGTAAATGCCTCTGAATACCCATTGCTGGGAATTGCAAATGGGGAGAGTGCTTGGATTCCGCTTGCGGGATTCCTAGAAGAGACATCTGGTTGACCACTGTAAGGACAGAATGCTGAACATATGAGGAACAACTGAGGGAGTTGGGAATGTTTAGCCTGGAGAAGGGAGGATTAAAAGGCAATATGATGCCCATCTTCAAATATCTGAAGGGCATTCACATGGAAGATGGGGCAAGCTTGTTTTCTGCTGGTAGGAACCAAATTAATGGCAAGATAGGTCATTCTGACTAAACCTTAGAAAGGACTTTCTGGTGGTAGGAGCTGTTCACCAGTGGAGTGGACTCCCTTGGAAGGTGTGGACTCTCCTTCCTTGGAGGTTTGTCAAGAGAGGTTGGGTGGCCATCAGTCAGATATAGTTTAGCTGTGATTCCTGCATTGCTGGGGATCGAACAAGATGGCTCTTGGGGTCTCTTCCAACTCTTCCATAGAATCATACAGTTCTATGATTCTATGATGTTGCTGGGATCCTCCTGCACACCTTTCCTCTTGGCTTCTGTCAGGCACCAGAAGGCTGTCATGCTGCAGCAGGCTTTGCAAAACCTTCTGCACCTTCAGAGGAATCTGAGCTCCTGGGGACAAACCTGCCCATTGCAGACCCTTCTCCTTCCCACAGTCTCCATCCTGGGAACTCTTCATTTCAATCTTGTTCCATGCTTAACGCTGCTGTTTCCTTTCAATGTAATTTATCTCAAAAGTGGTAGAAAGAACCCCCTTCCTTTTTTAAAAAAAGGAAAACTCTTTTGAAAGATGGAGACAGAATTTGTAGTTATATAAAAAGAATTGGCTATTTCTGTAAATCTTCCATTTTCCCCTTTCCTTAGAACCAGTTTGGTAAATGTTGTCTCTCTCTCCTCCCTCCGTCATGTCAGATTTTACATCCTGCAAGCATCAAAGTATGGATCATAAACCCCTCAGCTCTTTATGACTTCAGCATTACAATCGCCAGGCACATTTTATGCAAATGAAGGTATTTACCTCCACAAGCTCTCCCATGAAGTGTGCCAGCTTCTCTGAAGAATTTATTTTGCTACATAAACAGAAGAAGAGTGTACCTAAAATTCATTGTAGGCGTTAAAGCCATGTGTGCCTTCAAGGCTGTGGTGCATGTGCAGTTTTGAGGGGAGGGGGCTGAGAGGTGAGCAGCAAAGGCACCCACAAAGTCAAGCCAGACAAAGAGAGTTGGAATCCCACTAGATAAGGGGTGGGGAACCCTTTAAAGCCCAAGGGCCACATTCTCTTCTGAGCAACATTCTGAGGGCCACATGCCAGTGATGGGTGGGGCCCAAGGCAAAAGTGGGTGAAGCAACAGATGTAAATTTTACCTTTGTACAGGAGGCTAGTTTCTTCACACATACCCTCTCTGTCCTTCATACAGGCAAGCACGAGGCAAGGTCGGAGTCCAATTTGGCACATTTCAGCCTGGCAAAACACTCAAGGGGGATGTGAAGCAAGGGCAGTGAGGGGTGTGGCCTGGCAAAAGAGGGGGTGGCTAGGAGAGGGGTGGTGGTCTTGGCAGAGTCCCAAGGACCAGATAGAGGCCAACATTTGGCCCTCAGACCTGAGGCTCCCACCTCTGCACTTGACCATCCTTCCCCAACTAGTCTATGCTGGCTGGGTCTGATGGGAGTTGTAGTCCTAAATATATGGAGGGTGCCATGTGCAGAAAGGGATATAAATGGCATCATCTTCTCTGTTGGTCAAGATACTCAACTGAGTAAGATAGCATCAAGTCTACATGCTTGGGTAATATATAACCCTCTTCCATGTCTGGAGTTCTACCTCCGCCGCCAACAAAAAGTGTGGGCTCATGTGTGTTTTTGTGTGCATTCTTCAGGGGAAGAGCTGACTGAAGGGTGTGTGGTCATATGGAAGTGGTGTGCAGGGTGTGTTTTGTGATGAGGATGGAAGAGCTAACAGCTGGTCCATTTAAGTAAGCAGTGCATCTGCTAATGGGTTAGGGCTGGTGGTCTCCAGCACCTAGGCACAGTGTTGGCCCTTCATCATGCCCCTGGCATGCAAAGTCATAGAACAGAGGAGAGGCCCCTTCCAGGAATAAAATAGTCCCTGCCTCAATCCCAGCTTCCTAAAGAGGCCCCCCAGTTCCACCTGTCTGCCTGGTGCAACCTCCTCCCTGGGGAGTCCACCAGTCCTTCCATGGAAGAGTTTAGTGTGTCCCTCCAGCTCCATTTAAGTTGTGTAAGCTCTCTCCCACCCCAAATGGCTGGTAGCTTCCAGATGGTTCTCTGGCTCTCCTGGAGGAGGTCTCTGATTGACGATGGGCTGTTCCCTCAGAGGATACAGCCAGGCATCGATCCTGCCCTATTTTGCATGCAAAGTCAGCTCTCTCCCCTTTTGGCTAATTTCCCGACTATTTATTTGAACTAAATGAATCCCAGCCTCATTCAGGACCTCTCAGCACGTACGTTTAACACGCCTCAGCCACTTATTTTCATTAGGTGTTTTACCGGGTGCCTTAGGGTGTGCTGTTGGCTGAAGAGGCCTACAGGAAAGGGCGCAGACTGGGGAAGAAGGAGACAAGGTATAGGACTGGGTCACCAAACAGGGCCATGGCGTCCCCATCCATTTTGAGAAAGGATCGATATCAGGCTAAAGGCTTCAGCCCACAGTGTGGATGTGGGAGGCTCACTTGGGCTGAGAGTGGCTTCATCTCACAATCCCAGGCAAGCCCCATTCTGGCACTGACCCAGAGAACAGTTGCCGTAACTGCTGTGCAGATCCTTGCTGCCACCCACAAGGGAAGAGCCCTGCCTGAATTGCACCCTGCTTCCAGGCTCAATAGTTTTAGGTGAGTGAGTCAGAAATGCTACAAGGAAATCTCTGTCCCTATCCATCCTTAGTCTAGGGAAGCCTCTGCTACTCCGTTGGATGTCTTGGTGTGTTTGCCAACACTTTCTCCTTCCTATTCCTTTCTTACGGAGCATTCCTTTGATTTGATGTTTGCTATTTCAAGAGGGTGTCTTTCCCATGCAGAGTGAGAAAAATCACACTGCACTCAATCCAAGCCCATTGAATTGAACAGATTCCTGCTTGGTCTTCCAGGAACCACCTGGTTCTTCTAGAATTACTGTTACTACTACTACATTTACATCCCAGCTTTCCTCCAACAAAGTGGTGTACATACTTATCTCCCCTCTAGTTTATCTTCACAACAACCCTGTGAAGTAGGTTAGGTTGAGAGGCTGTGACTGGCCCACGATCCCCCAATGAGCACCATGCTGGCTCTCTCTCATACATAAGAGTGACTGGATTTGTAGGTGTTTTTGGTGATATCATCATCTGCCTTGAATGCTCCTGTCCTTGCTGGCTGCTGGTCCATTTCTGGGTATGTGAGAAGACTAGAGGAAGGTAGCGATGGAATTGCCACCACTTCCTCCTCTTATGTCTGTGCTATTAGAGAGTTATGCACCCCCACCATTTTTTAAAAGTAAAATGAAATTGGCTTTTGCTAAAATTGGGGCTCTCTGTCTGTCCTGCTGCTCCCTGCATAGGTATGATGATGTCACACAAGAAGTGGCCCTTACAGAAGAAACAGGGTTGTCAGCTTGTGAAATCCACTTTGCTGGAGCAGTTTGGAAGTGGAGTCAAGAAACCCAGAAGGCTTTGGCATGTATGGGGGCCGGTCCAAGGTTGAAGTCTAGGGTCTTCTGCATTGGGTTCCATTTCCAAAGCTGTGTCTTTGCCTAATACAGCCTTCTCCAACCTGCTGTCCTCTATATGTTTTGAACTACAACTCCCATCAGCCCCCAGCCACCATGGGCATGTTCCCAACCACCAGACCATTTTATGGCCAGGCTAGCTGGGACTGATGGGAATTGTAGTCCAAAATATCCGGAAGGCGCTAGGCTGAGGAAGTATGACCTAATACAACTTTTAAAACAATAAGATCAAGCAAATCTCTATAAACAAACAAAGGGCCCAGAGCACTCTGTCCTAAAGTGGTTAACGATTTGTTTTCCTATTTGCATAAGATCACAAGATCCAATTTGTCTTGTCACTATTATCTTGGAGACTGATGTGTTAATTACTAGGACTGCACCAAATATTCTCTTGTGTTTGACTGGAAATAGTGCAGGGTAGGGGGAAGAAGTTTTCCTGAAAAGGCCTTGAATTTGGATAATCAAACCTTCATTGATGCTTTTTGCTGCTGGTGTTGCTTTCATGTTCCCAGGAATAGTCACTTGGCTGATCCCAGCCAATTGGGGATCACACCATGAAAGGGCCGATGTCATGAGGGTATGTAGCCAATCAGCTTTATGCTACATTATGACTTCACTGAGAGAGGAGCATAAGTGAAGAGGCAGGCATTCTCACTGCCACTGAAGGTAAATGGCTGGAAGAGAAGGACTGTTATTATTTCTGTTTACATGACTGTATTTTGAGAACATTCTCAGCAATTTCAGCCCAGTGCCATTACTAATGCATTGCTGCCTTGCTCTGAAAATTTGGCATTTCTGAAAACTTGTCACAGTGTCAGTTTGCTTGGTTGTCAAAGGAAGCTTTTGTAGCGGTCTTCTCTTTCTTTGTCAGATGTACAGTGGGAAAATGTATGCTGGTTTGTGTGTGCATGCATGAACACACAGTCATGATAATTCCCAGCAGTTGCCTTTGGATGGAAGCGGGGAGAGACGGGGGTCTGTGGAGCTGTGCAGTGCCTGAACTTCATCAGCCAGCCCCTTTGCGGATGAAAAGGGGCATGTCTGATGCTATGGCCACCCTCTGCGCACACCTAGATGAAGAGGAGCCAAGGTTCCTTACTCAGCTCAAAATCCTCTGGAAGTCTGAACAAATCAAAGCGCCAGAGAGGAGTGCCTGGAGCCACGACTTCGTTGGCAAAGCAGCACCTCCGGCCACAGAGCTGGAAGATCCAGCGAGTCACGCAGCTCATTCCTATGCAAAAAGGGTTTTTATCTCTCTAAATGCTATTCGGCATCATTACTCATTGCAGGGAGGTGATGGCTGGCCTTGTTTAATGGGCTGAACTTTGCAACCTGAGCTGAAAGCTTATTTGTGCAGACTTGGGCCTGATGCTTTATTGCTCCTAAATTGTACAGATGATGTTAGAGCAAATGTTGTTAGGCTCTCCATTAAGGTTTGTTAAAGTTTCATACCAAGGGCTGCTTTGCACTCTTTTTGGTCCACAAAAGTAGGTCTCACATCATTGCTGGGTGACGTGAACTGAACTGTCCCTGGGGTCTCGGCAGCAATTCCAGAGCTGAGGCATCACTTTTAAAAAGCAGTGATATAATGTCTGGATGAGGAGTGGGGAGCCCTGCGCCTGGATGCCAACGTTGGCCCTCTAAGCCTTCCTATCTGGCCCCCAGGCAGTTAGAAACTCAGAGATATAAGCTAGGCACCAAATGGCTCCGTAAACCAAGGTTACAGTAGCCAAAACGGAATGTCTAGTTGTCCTTTTGGGGCAAGACGGCTCTAAATTCTGGTTTCTTAGATGATGGGCTGATGGTATTTGATTATCAGTTAAACATCTAGCTAGTTCAGATGACATTTGAGCTAAGTTAAGAACTTTGAGAACTGAAAGAAGAAAAGTCACTTCATCCAGGGACAGTCCACATATATACTGGCCTATTCTGACCTCTTTTTCTTAATGGTGACACAGACCGAGGGGCATCACATCTCCCATCACTGGCCAGGCACCCCAGTTATAGCATGGTATCTTTTCTTGTCGGCATCAGCCCTGGTGAGCTATTAGCCCTGGTGGTTGTGCTCTGCTTCGCAGTTGGAGGCAGCATTGCTTCTGAATACCAGTTGCTGGAAATCACAGGAGGGGAGAGGGATCTGGTGCTTGAATCCTGCTTGCAGGTTTCCCATTGGGGCATCTGTTTGGCCACTGTGAGAACAGGATGTTGGACTAGATGAGCCATTGGCCTGATCCAGCAGGTTTGTCTTACAATCTTATGTTCCGCTGCCAATGTAAAAACGTATTTCTTTACCCTGGCATTTGTTCATTACCGCCTGCTGTTCTGCTTCATATTTTTTCTGATCTGTATTTATTTATATTGCTACGTTGGCAATAAGTTGCTGTTTTGTTTTGTTTTCTCATGTCCCAGCATGGAGCAGTAGAACAGAGATGCTTTCCAATCAGTAAAATAGAGTACCGTATTTTTCGCTCTATAGGACGCACTTTTCCCCCTTCAAAAAGGGCAGGAGCTACAGTCGCGTGTGCATCCTAGCTGGAGAGCACAGCGGGCTCAAGCAGCCCCGCGACCCTCTCCCGGCTGGAGCGGTGACACGCTGCTATGGCAGGAGCATCTACAGCCGTGCGTCACCTCTCCAGCCGGGAGAGCGCGCGCGGGGCTAAAGAAGCACCCCGCGACCCTCTCCCAGCTGGAGAGGTGACGCGCGGCTATGGCAGGAGCCTCTCCGCTGTGCCTTTCCACTGCTCCCTGACCTGCTCTTTGGGGCTGGTGGTGGGCTTCCCCCCGCCAGCCCCACAGAGCAGGTCGAAAGGAACCTGAAGCCTGGAGAGCGAGAGGGTCAGTGCACACCGACCCTCTTGCTCTCCAGGCTTCCAAGGTAGCCGCCTGAACGCACCTTAAACGGCACCTTGTTTTAGAGCGGGAAAACAAGAGGGGGAAAGTTCTCCCCCTCTCTGCGCAGCGCCTCCTGCCTCTTCGCTGAAGGGGTGCTGGGCAGAGAGGGGGAGGTTTTTTTTCTTGTTCTCCCCCCTCTAAAACAAAGTGCGTCCTATTGTCCGGTGTGTCCTATGGTGTGAAAAATACGGTAATACGAGCCTCTGAAGGCAGGAGCTGTGAAGACTCTGGGATGGAGAATGGGTGTGTAGCATTGGTTACAAGATGCACTTGCAAACACAGCAAGTTCAGAAGTGTGACACAATACTTTTTAAAGGGAGGAGGGAGAGGATCTGTTTTTTCCTGCACTGGAGTGGTTCCCCTTGCCTAAAACATGTGGAGGGTTTGATAGATGGGATGTCTAATACCTGTGCTGCAGAGGGTTGGCCTAGATGATCCCTGGGGTTCCTTCAGGCTCTTAGTTCTATGGTTCTATGAGCCCAGTCATAGTGTGCTATTAGGAAGCCTTTTGCCTGGATGCTGGAAGGCAAAGAAATGAGGAGGGGGGCTGGACTGAGTACCACTGGCCCCTTGTGTGCCATAATGGCTGTGCTGGCCTGGCTGCCCCTCGCGCTCCTAGGTACCGGTACTTACCCTGTTCCTGCAAGGCTCCTGATCCCTCCTTGCATTCGAAGATTCCTCAATGCAGGCGATGCTCTTCTGCCACTCCGACCTCCTGGAGCACCAATTCTTCTTTGTTAACATGTGTGAGCCCCCGTGCGTGTTTATTGCTTGACTCTTCGGCGTTTAATGAATAACCTCGGTGTTACATTAATGCAGGTTTTTGTGTTGTAATTAATATTTGTGTTGCCATTGGAAATGATGGTGAGTCAGGGAAGAGCCAGGGCAAGTTTAATTGAATTGCGTGCAGCGCTGAAAGGATGGAGCCATTAAACGCTCAGCTGCAGAATGATGGGGCCGGCTGGATTCCTCCACCCACCAGGTCAGCCTCAGGTGGAGGTGGCAGGAAGTAATTTTGCTGGGTGCTAAAATCTTGGTGGTCTCTAAACCCCAGGTGTGAAGTCCTAGAGGCAGGCCCCTTTTTATTTCCCTGCCCACCAGCAAATGAAGAGGGGAGTTTGGTCACAAAAGGCCAAAAGCAGAGGCTCAGTGCTCCCTCTGGGGCAGGGTTGGGAAAACCTTCCCAACCCAAGGGGCACATTTCCTTCTGGCCAAGCTTCCAAGGGCCACTTTCCAGTGGTGGGCAGTGCCAGATAAAAAAGTGGGTGGAGTTTTAGAGCTATTCTTAATGAAATTTGCCATATTCTACATTTCCGACATGGGTTGCCGTACGTCCGGATTTCCCCAGGCAATTCAGCTCCAAGACACTGTTTTCAATAACCAAATCCCGGCTATGTCTGGGAATTTCTGGACGTATGGCAACCCTAGTTTACACACACACACACCAATTTCTAGCCTCTATCCAGGGAAGCAAGAAGCTTCACTGAAATTCATGGGCAGCACTCCAGCCAGGCAAAAACACTCAAGCAGGGTGCAAAACAGGGCCAATGAAAGGTGGGGCCTGGGGAGAGTTCCAAGGGCCAGGCAAAGAGGTCTGGAAGGTTGCATTCAGCCCCTGGGTTCGTCACCTTTGCTCTAGGGCAGACATGGATTTGCTAGGCAATTTCTTTAAGGACCTGAGTAGGTCTGTCAATACCAATCTGTATATAATATAACCCCTGTCTTGGTCACTTACAGTAAGTAAGAAACCTTGCCAGGCAACCTTGATGGGTTTGGGAACGATCTGTGGACTGACTTGCAGGGATGCAGTCAGCGCTGTGGTCTAAACCTATGAGCCTCTTGGGCTTGCTGATCAAAAGGTTGGCAGTTTGTGCGATGGGGTGAGTTCCCGTTGCTCTGTCCCAGCTTCTGCCAACCTAGCAGTTCAAAAGCATACCGGTGCAACTAGATAAATAGGTACCACTGCAGCGGGAAGGTAAATAGCATTTCTGTGCATTTTGTCACAGTCGTCCATGAGCCAGTAGCTGTTTAGTTATGCTGGCCACATGACCCCAAAAGCTGTCACTGACTTCCTCGGCCTGAAAAGTGAGAAGAGTGCTGCACCTCATAGTCACGTTTGACTGGACTTAACCATCCAGGGGTCCTTTACCTTACCTTACCTTACCTTATGGATTGACATATAAGCACTAACATTAGCTGCAAGAGTTGGAGAGGCTAAAAAAAGAAAGAAAAGAGAGTTAGGATCCATTTGGATGAAGAGAACTGTCCAGGCTGCAAAAACAGTCACTCTCCAAGCCTGTATGTAAACAGCTCAGTTGGTAGAGCATGACATTCTTAATCTCAGGGTTGTGGATTCAAACTCTACCTCAGGCAAAATATTCCTGCATTGCAGGAGGTTGGACAAGATGACCATCTTGGTCCCTTCCAACTCTACAATTTTGTGATGCTGTTGAGGTAAGAATTCACTTCTAAGGACTCTCTTAAGCTGTTGTTGCTGCCTGCCTGCAGTGCCTCTGCCCACTGGAGCCTTGTCCAGCCCCTGGCAAGCCATGCCACTGACTCTTCTGTAGAGCTGCTTTCCTCTTTGCGGCTCAGCTGTGACCCAGTCCAGGTTCTGTTTCCAAGAGTCACCACCAGTCAGGCACCTCTGAAAATATGCAGGCAAGGCACAGTGCAGGTGGTCTTTCCCCTTCATTTGAGCACAGCTTCAGGGATTTCAGAGGCAGCTCTTCTTTTCTATCAGACTGCCACAAAATGCCCAAGCTCTTGTGGACAGCTAAAACATTTTGTGGCAAAATCCGTGGCATGTCGCAGGAAGTTGTGGTTGTTCCTTCCTCTTCTCCATGGTGAGTTGTGGTGGCTTGGCCAAAGGAAGTTGGGCAGTGTGGCTCTGCTCTTGGGATCCATGTTCTTGTGGCTCCCTTGTGGCACTTCCGAATTGTCCCATTTGAGTGGGTGAATCCTGGCCTCATGCTGGCGCCCCCTGTGCAGCAGTGCCAGCCCACCCATGAGGCAGGGTGAAGTGACTGCCTCAGGCAGCAAGATTCACAGGGACAGCAGATCCTGAAGTAGATATATTTTTTCTTCCCTGACGGCGAGTGGGCACCATTTTGTGGTTTGCCTCAGGTGCCAAAATGCCTTGTGCCAGCCCAGCTGTGCTGGTCTCTCACCTGCTGCTGCTCACCTCACCTTTCAAAGAGAGCCTAAGACCTAGGCATTCTGTGGGCACAAGGAGGGTCACCATAGCTCAGTGGGTATAGCTTCCACTTCACATGCATTGAGGTTCAAACCCCAATGGCACCTCCAGGCAGGACTGGGAGAGATCCTAGTGTCTGAAACCCTTGAGTGCCATTGCTGCCAGTCAGTGTAGACAATACTGAGCTAGGGTCTCAGGCAGAAGTGTCTTTCAGCCTGAACTGGAGATGCTATCAGGGATTGAACCTGGGACCTTCTGTATGCAACACTGATGTTCTGCCACTGATCTATGGCCTTTCCACATCTCCGAGTCAAGGGCATGAACTCCCTGCAGCTTGGCATCGCTGTGCCGGTGAGAAAGGGCTCCCCCCACCATTGCACATTCCTCTTAACAGTGCCTTAGTTGTGACAGACTTGCTTCCTCTGCGGATTCGGCATGGTTCGCCTCTGGCAACATTCCCATTTATGAAGATGTTTTGCATCCCGAGATTTGCAGCTTCTCGGCCGATGAATATTCAGGACCCACTTTGCCCCCCCTCCCCCGGCACTGCTGCCCCCTCCATATATGTGCCATCCTCATTCCTCACCCCCACCCTCTTCTCTCTTCTTCCTCTTCTTCTTAAACTGCGGATTCAATTAGTTCTATTTGCTGCTTTAGTAATAAAACAATTCCCTCTGTGGCATTAAAATGAGCTTCTCTCATTATTTCATTTGGCTCCACGTTACACTTTTTGAAAAGTGGGGAAAGGAGGCCCTGAGGTGGAGGTAGCTTGCAGGCTTCTCCACCAGTGCTTAATAGGAGAAGGAGGAGGGAGGGCCAAAAAAGGTGTGTAGCAGGAGAGTTAAATACGAGAGGAGGGTCTTGGACAAAGAAGTGCTCTCTGCTCCGATGCATGCCATAAATCAACAAAAAAATATTTTTTGCTAATTAAACAAAAAAGTTATGAAGGGCACTATATGAATACTTAAGTAAATATCATTACTATCCTCTCCTGGATCTCCCACAGACTTTGAAGACAAAGCTATGAGACTTCCTGAGAGCAGGTCAGTAATGCTCCACAAGCCCACTGGGCATTGCCAGCCAAATGCACTCTTGCTATTCCTGTTCTTCTCTCCTTCCAAACCTGTCGCTTGGACCCAAGCCAATGAAGGCACATTGGTGAGAAAAATCTTGAAATAGCACAAAGTCGGCCAACCGCAGGCTTCTACAGTGGTACCTCAGGTTACAGACGCTTCAGGTTACAGACTCTGCTAACCCAGAAATAGTACCTTGGGTTAAGAACTTTACCTCAGGATGAGAACCGAAATCGCGCACTGGCAGCGCGGCTGCAGCAGGAGGCCCCCATTAGCTAAAGTGGTACCTCAGGTTAAGAACAGTTTCAGGTTAAGAACGGACCTCCAGAACGAATTAAGTTCTTAACCCGAGGTACCACTGTATTTCAAGATACTGTATTTTCTCAAATGGTTTTTAGGTAAAGCAAGTGAAAGGAATAGGCATCATATAATCGTCAAGTTGGAAGGGGCTCCAAAAGTCATGTAGTCCAACCCCCTGCAATGCAGGAATCACAACTAAAGCAGCCATGACAGATGGCCATTTAACCTCTGCTTGAAAACCTCCAAGAAGGAGAGTCCGCAACCTCCCAAGGGGTCCAATCCACTGCTGAATGGCTCTTACTGCTGAGAAGGCTCTTGGCTCCAGAGAAGCGACTCTTCAAGATGGATTGAACAGGAGTACCCTCTGGGCAGTGCCATCTTTGCCCAAGGGGGAGCAAGCAGCCAGTGTGTGCAAGGGTGGGTAGCCTGAGGGTGGTCTCCCCCATTCTTCCTCCTTCAAAGCACACCTAAGTCTGAGCCTGCATGCCCTCTGGGAGTCTTGCAAGACCTTTCCATTTGGGCTAGTGCAAGCCATGGGAGGACAGGGATTTTAGTATCCAGCATAAGGACTGATTCGGGATTTGTGTGCCTGTTTTTGCTTCGCTGTTACAGGACACAAAACTTTGGCATGAGTAAGACTATAAACGCTAATAGGTATATAAAATAACCTGAACTGTTTCCACCCCAGCCAGTCAAGAGCTGCAGTTTTAAGAACCAGAGCCTGAGCTCACTTTTTCGCTCCACCCTCCAGATCCCCTTTTTCTCGTGTGTCATGCCTTTTAAACTCCAAGCCTGAAGACGGGGACTGTCTTCCTCCAGATCTTAGTAAGCCACTTTGAGCTCCTTTATAAGAGTGTGGTGGTAGTGTACCATATGTGGTAATGTGGCGGTGCAGTTGTGTCCCTTCAGGTGATGCCGGACTGTTGCACCAGTCAGCCCTGCCCACTGGCTGTGTTGACTTTGGGGGGCTGATACGAGTTTTAATTCAAAAGCCCCTGAAGAGCCACAGTGGGGGGCCCACTCCTGCTCTAAGCAAACAATACTCCAGTGTATGGGCCCTGGAGGCTGCTGCCCCACCCCCAAAAAAGAGTCCAGCTAAGCATAGCTGTGGAGGTTATCCTAAAATAAACATGAACATTATTTTTCTAACTAGCCAATATTCAGTTTTAGGATCTTAGGCTGTGTACACTCCTTATATTGAAAGAACACACACTCCTCAAAAATGAATCCTGGGAACTGTAGCTTACTCCTCAGAGAGCTACAGTTTGTAGGGATATGAATAGATGCTAGGAGAGGACATATTTATCAGATATTATCCTTCCTTGATCACGTTTGTGAGTTCAGCAGAGTGCCATCGCTTTGCGGCTTGAAAGGGAAGCTTAGGTAGGCTAGTTTTAGCTTTTTAGTTTAAGTAATCCAGGATGCTTTAAGGGAGACTGGTTTCTCCCAATATCTCCCCCTTTTCTCCCCCTTTAAACAATAATCACACAAACAGTCTTGTAAGAGGTAAACATAACATTTGCTCACTTAGAATATTTGTAGCAGATACAGCAGCTTTGTTTAGGCAGGCTTAACATGGCAATTCAGTTCCAAAGACATCCTTTAGTCTCGTTTAAAATGGTGTCTGAGCATCAGAGCTGAGACACAGCAGATGTTCCTCACATTTCTGGCTTGGTGATGAGTTGAAGATGAAGAGAAGAAAGAGAGTGTTTGCCCAGGCAGGTATGGGAATATATATAGCTGCACTATCCCACTGTCAGGGCACAGGAAACCTCTGAGAGATTCAGCTCCTATCATGTGCCTATCTAGCATGAATCATTGGTTTTGGTTGCATTTTAAAATCATTGGTTTTGGTTGCACCCCTAACTATGATTCCCAGGAGTCTTCAGGGGGAGCACTTTAAATGTATGGTGTGCATGCAGCCTTACACATGAGGTCGCAGCACCCTTTCCTTCTTGCCGCTGATGGGCTCCACCCTGCAAGGCACAAGCAAAACTTCCCCAGGCAAATTGAAGACCGATGGCGAGAAGTCATTGCGGTGTGTGTGCGATTTAGGGCAGAGAAACAGCTGGCTGGAAAAGGGCACCTTCTAAATGTTCTAAATGTCTTTCTCTAGAGACTGCTTTTAGCCACCGGACCTCTGAGATGTGGATTTGCATGTAGGCGTTTTCCCCTGAGATTGCAAGTGCTCTTCTTTGAGCGCTCAGAGCGAGGAACTGAGCTGAAGCTACAACTCAACTTCAGCCAATTATTTTTTAAGCAACTACAGTGGGGTGAGGGAGAGTTTTTTATCTTGGCTATTGGAGGTGAATGTCTTGCAGAACCTCCAGAAAAACAGGTCCAGCCTTTGACTCTCCAGGGCCCCGGGGACTCTCTGCTGTGAGGTAGCCCCCCGGCAGAGTATCTCTCGGGACTTTGTTCTGTTGTTTTCATATTTAGCTTGATCAAAAAGTATTGTCTGAAGCGGCTAAGAACTTGATTCGGAACGTTTGGGTACATTTCAATCCAGGTCTAGTTACGGATGGGAAACTGCCTTGGTCACCTGGGCTGTAGGCTTATACTGTAGAATGGATGCTGCCCTGATGGTTCCCTTGGACCTGTCACATGGTAGAAGGAGCAAGCTCATTTTCTGCTGGTCCAGAGGGTATGGCCCCAACCAATGGATTCACATTATAAGAAAGGAGATACTGACTAAGCTTTAGGAAGAACCTCCTGACAGTAAGAGCTGTTTGACAGTGAAACAGACTCCCTCGGAAGGTGGCAGACTCTCTTTTATTGGAGCTTTTTGAGCAGTGATTGGATGGCCACCTGTCAAGGATTCTTTAGCTGTGGTTCCTACATTGCAGGGGGTCAGATGACCCTCAATGTACTTTCCAACTCTACAGTTCTATGATTCTATGGCCTCTCGGTGGCATTCTGTACTGTCTGCCATGTTGCTGTTCTGGACCACGTGGACACGTTTTTATTAGGAGGTGGATGAGGCTGAGGTGGCCATCTCAGAAGCTGGCATTGATATGGGTTTTTATAGGATAATTCCAAACTGGAAAATCGCAAATTAGCTTAATTTATGTGTTCGTGATCTTTACGAAGCTAATCACTGTCGGGGTGCTGTGTTGTAATAATGCAAATTAGCCTAATTCATGCATGTGATCTTTAGGAAGCCAATCAATGTTTGGTTGTGTATGTGTGCGTGTAGTAATAATGAATTAATTAAGTTTAATTTATTTTAGTTTATTATGGGAATTAAAAAGAATCCAAAAGGGTGTCAGCAAATTAAGGTGTGTCTGGACGGGAGGTGTTCTATTTATGAAATCCTTGAATCTACACTACAATGAAATTTATTTTAATTCATCATGAACATTAGAAAGCAAAGTGTTGGTTTGTAATGTGGAAGGTCTTGGGAAAGGCAACCTTGAGTTGTTACCCTCTGCATTTGGTATTGCATGAGAAAGGGAGGGGAGGAAGTGTCATTTAATGCAAACATCTCTTTGGCGCCACTTGCTTTCGTCATATGTCTCCAGTAGGGTTTGCAACAAGACAATGTGATTTCACAAAGGGCAACATGACTTCCATCCAGGCTAGGGAATAATGCCCATTCCCCCTCCTCACCTCCTCCTTGGGTTTAATGGCATTACAAGGCCAATAAAAGGTCTTTTCCCGCCAGCTACTAACAGCCTTTCCTTTTCCACTTACCATTTTAGGAGATCTGTGGCATCAGCAGGCACCGAACAGCTTTAGGCAACCCATAAATAATTACTGTTTAGCACTGTGCTAAACAGCTGTGCTGATTGGGACTGATGGGAGTTGTAGTCCAAAATGACCACACTGGGTGGGGGCTCATGCGAGTTGTAGTCCAAAGCATCTGGAGGCAATCATGTTTGTGAAAGCTACTTTACAATTTAAAAGAGGAGTTTGGGGCTCATCCACACTTCCACTCGTCTTGTGCCTAGAAAGCATGGGTCCAAGCCATTTTGCAGCTGGAAAATATCACTGGAAACCCAATTGCTGATTGGTCCAACTCAACAATAAACCTCAAGTTTGGTGGGGGAAGCGGTGGGGCAAATGGAGGTGTGAAAGAGTCCTTGGTCAAAACTGATAGTGGGCTCATTTATTTATTTTATTTAAAACCTTCCCCCTCACGCCTGCATTGTTTGCCCAAGGGGAATCTCCTGCCCCAAAGCTGCAACTGACCCTGTCAGGGAAAAGCTTCAGCTCCCCAAGCATCTGATGCTTCATAGCAAAGGATAAGACGTTGGGTGATCTAATAGACTGACCCCCGTATTTTTCACATCTAGATAGGAAAGCAGTTTCACATTGCATTGTTCTGCTAGCACACCATGGAGGTTATTGAGTGAACCTTCAAAATTGTACATGGGAAGGTGTGGCAGTGAAGGTGCCACCCTAGGTGTGCCATTTACAGTTGTTGAGGTGGCTCACCTGGCAGAGTCAGTGTCCTGGGAGACATGTACGAAGCTGAACCTTGACCAGCCACAATCTCCGCCCGAGTCCCTGTCTGCAATTTGAGAACACTTCTTAGAAGGTTGCTGTGGAGATCACTAAGTGAATGCATGCAGAACGCTTTGATTTACAGTGGTACCTCAGGTTACATACGCTTCAGGTTACAGACTCTGCTAATCCAGAAATAGTGCTTCAGGTTAAGAACTTTGCTTCAGGATGAGAACATAAATCGTGCTCTGGTGGCATGGCGGCGGCAGCAGGCCCCATTAGCTAAAGTGGTGCTTCAGGTTAAGAACAGTTTCAGGTTAAGAACAGACCTCCAGAACGAATTAAGTACTTAACCCGAGGTGCCACTGTACCTTTAACCTGTCACCTGTCTCTACAGACTTGCTGTTTAGAGTGATACTTAACCCGAGCTACCACTGTACTTTAGGCTAGCCACATTTCCCTGTGTAAAATGGTTTGACTGTGCCAGGAGTATAGGAAGTCAGACCATTAGTCCATCTAGCTCAGTATTGTCTACACTGACTGTCAGCAGCAACAGCTCTCCAAGGTTTCATATAGGAAAACTTTCCTTTTTGATAATTGAATTTTTCGTTTTCACATTTTACAAATATTTTAAACAAAATCTTTACAAATCCAATTTGCTTTCCCTTTGACTTACCTCCCTTCCTTTCTGCAGCTACTTATTCTATATATTTTTATTACTGCATATCCAATTAAAATCTAGGAATCTTTTCCAACCCTTCCTGGAGATGCTGTTGGGAATTGAACCTGGGGCCTTCTGTGCAGGGCTGTTGGCCTTGTATGTACACCCATGTCTGCCAAGGGGAGCAGTGCGTGAAAATGAGCTACGCTATGCCTTTAATTAGGGATGCGGGTGGTGCTGTGGGTTAAACCACAGAGCCTAGGACTTGCCGATCAGAAGGTCAGTGGTTCGAATCCCTGCGACGGGGTGAGCTCCCGTTGTTCAGTCCCTGCTCCTGCCAACCAGCAGTTCAAAAGCACGTCAAAGTGCGTAGATAAATAGGTACTGCTCCAGCGGGAAGGTAAACGGCATTTCCGTGCGCTGCTCTGGTTTGCCAGAAGCTGCTTAATCATGCTGGCCACATGACCCGGAAGCTGTACGCCGGCTCCCTCAGCCAATAAAGCGAAATTAGCGCCGCAACCCCAGAGCCGGCCACAACTGGACCTAATGGTCAGGGGTCCCTTTACCTTTACCTATGTCTTTAATTGCAGAATCACAGAATTGAAGTGTTGGAAGAGACCACAAGGATTATCTAGTCCAACCATCTTTTATCCAACATGGGGCTTGAACTCACAGCCCTGAGATTAAGAGTCTCCCACTTTACCGACTGAGCGATTGTGCAGGTTCAAGCCAATAATCATGGTGTAGACATGTGTTCCTTGTTCCTCTCTTGTGGCCTGGCTTGAGAATTTCCAGAGTGGGACCCTTGCTTGGCTGTGCTTTGTAGTCTGTGGTCCGCTGGATCTAGGAAGAGCCCGACCGCATACGGAGAAGGAGTGCAAGCCCTTCTGTAACAGACATTGCAGTGACAAATTAGGTTGGCCTCCTGCAGACTCCCCCAGATACAATACAGTACTATCTTTAGGACTAGGTTTTAGCTGATTGGAAGCTCCTGTTAATAATCTAACGAAGTGACAAAGCCCACAAAGAAATGATGTCCATTTAGGATGGAAAACCGTTTAACAGCCAGATGAAAAATTAGACTGTAGAATGGGATGAGAAAGACGTCCAAGTTAAGCAATTAATCAAAGCGATGGGAACGCAGGAAGGAAATAAACGTGATAAAAAGGATTTGCTAGAGCAGATTACAGACAAATTTTCAGGAGTGCCACGCAGGGCATGGCCGGCTTGGGAATTGCCCTCCTCCGAAATCTTCAATCATTCCTGCAATCAATTCTGCATTTCCTTAATAGCTGCCTGCGTGGAAAGAGAAGGAGCCCCTGTCCCCATTGTCTTAAATTAACCGCTAACAGCAATCCATACATTAAACTGCATATTGAATATTTGTCTCACAACAATGCTCTTGGAAGTTGTTTATTTCCCGGCTAGTCCTTCTGCTAGGCGTTTCGGCACTGTACCTAAATTCTGCAGGATGCGTGCTGTGGAATATCACCTCCTGCGTTCGATATTCTCCCTCCCAGCCCCCTGGTGCCAAAAGCAGCTGTGCAGGTGGCGGGGGGGGGGGCTTGCAATTACAGCCAGCTTTTCTCATAAACTGATTGTTTGTTTCTTGAGACAATTACGCCGCCTTTATTATACGATGTATGTTTCGCCGCAGCCACTCGCCTGCTTTATAGGGTTTTGCAGTAAAATACCAAGTGGAGATACGCTTTGCCCCCTAATATGATTCAATTGTATTGTGTTATCTGACCTTTAAAGGGAGTTTGCAATCTATAATAACATGACCGAATAGATCCAGTTGTAGGGAAGAATTGGCAGGCTGGGAAATGCGACCTGTTTACAAATGCAGGACTGCTGGGGCCCTACTTAATTTCCCAGTGCCAAGGGAGTTCCCTATATTGGACGTGTGGAAGCTGGCTGGAGAAGGAAGGGCCTGGCATGGGACAAACTCTCTTTCCCCCCCCTCACCCCCACAGGGGGCATGAGAGAGTTGCAATCCAGGCAATCCAGTGGACAGGTTTGTTCACCTCTGGGGACCCAAGAAAGAAGAGGATGGTTTCATCAAGCAGTGGAATGTGGTGAAATTTTGTGTAGGGGCACAGTTTGGGACAGAAGCGCTAGCTTGTGAGGGCGATGGGGAGGGGGATTACATCACACACATGACATCATAACACCATACATGTGAGCATCATGCCTCCCTCCTTAAGCTGGGTGGAAGCTCCCCAGGCTTAAAGGAAAGAGGTGCCAGGTCTTTGACAGAATGCTGGAGACCTCCTGCCTCCTTCCCAAAGACAGGCAGGTTTTGGGAAGGTGGCGGGAGGATTGCTGAACCTGTTGAAGCATTGTGCCTCTCTCCCTAAGCCAGGCAGAAGCTTCCTAGCCTTTGGGAAGAAGGTGCCAGGGGAACATTTTGGAGACCAACCTAGTTCCCCTAGTCCACTGACCACACGCCACTGGTTTCAAGGGCGTTTTGTCCCGCATTGGGTGTAGTTTAGTTCTGTGCCATGTGGATCATTTTAGGAAGCAGACTCTTATCATGGAACCTGTATGGAGGCTGCAATTCTTCTGGAAAACGCAGGAAGGGAGAGTTGCTCTTGTCCAGGGATCAGCAAACTTTTTCAGCAGGGGGCCAGTCCACTGTCCCTCAGACCTTGTGGGGGGATGGACTATATTTTTTTTGGGGGGGGGAGGTGAATGAATTCCTATGCCCCACAAATAACCCAGAGATGCATTTTAAATAAAAGGACACTTTCTACTCATGTATAAACACGCTGATTCCCAGACCGTCTGCAGGCTGGATTGAGAAGGCAATTGGGCTGGATCCGGCCTGCAGGCCTTAGTTTGCCTATCCATGCTCTTGTCCTTGAACCCTGCTTGTGGGTTTCCTACAAGCATCTGGTTGGCCATTGTGAGAACAGGGTGCTGGACTAGATGGGTCGCCTTTGACCTGATCCAGCAGGCTCTGCTAATGTTCTTATGTCCTTGTCTGCATTTCTGGGTGGTGTGGTGGTGGGGAGATTGGGGTGGGTGCAGGGAAAGAGGACCCTGTTTTACCAGTTCAGGGGGAAGGTGGGTGTTGCCCAGCACCAGTTGGCTGTCCCTTTGTGTCAGTCATCACAAAACTAATCCGTCCCTGTTTCTGATTTGATTCGGGAACGTCCAGCTTTTCCTTAGAATGTCCCTATTTTCATTGGAGAAATGTTGGAGGGTATGGAGTTGTGTGACCCTTGAGCCAAGGAGATAAGTAACTGCACAACCTTTAGAAGATATCTGAAGGCAGCCTTGTGTAGGGAAGGTTTTTTAATGTTTAATGTTTTTATATATGTTGGAAGCTGCCCAGAGTGGCTGGGGAAACCCAGTCAGATGGGTGGGGGAAGAAGAAGAAGAAGAAGAAGAAGAAGAAGAAGAAGAAGAAGAAGAAGAAGAAGAAGAAGAAGAAATAGGACATGCCTATTTTCATCAGAGATATGTTGTAGGGTATGTTCTTCACCCTGAGCTTTTTTTAGTCTGTGAAAAAGGGGAGGGGGAGTAGCCTTTAAAAAAAATAAACAACAACCAGGCACAGAACAAATGCCTAACTGGGAAAGCCTGCAGGTGCTTGTGGAGAAAATAGTCTAAGGCAAACCGCCCACCTGACACAGAGCAGAAGGAGGCAGGAGAGGGGGGGGGGAGAGGAGTTTGGAACGGGGGAGGGGAGGGCCGTGAGAAGGGGAGACTGTATTGGAAGCACCTACTTCTTTCCTGCAGGCACATAAAGGCACAACCATTTTGCACAGCCTTGTTCCTTCCTTACACACACACACACACACACACACACACACACACCCCTGCCTGCCTGCCCTCCTGCCTGCCTTTCCCAGGAGTCCAAGTACAGGGCTGAGCGATGGGAACCCCAAAGGAGGAGGAGGTTCCAGAAAGATGGCAGAAAAGATAATGTGATGCTGGAATATGGGGTTGCAGTGGTTGGGGACCAACTCTGTTGTTGGAGATCCCCCACATCACTCTCAGTGCCTCCAAGGCATCCATAGAGCTATTAACTAATCTAGACCAGGATTGAGCCATGGGCAAAGGCAGCCATGTGCCCTGCTTTGCAGAAGACAGTCCTCTGGTCCAAGAGCCATCAGAAGGGAGAGCAGGAGGGCTGCTTGGGAGTTGCCCATCCCCAGGGAAAGCAAAGTGAGCAAACAATTTGCTTCCACTGTGCTGCGTCTCTGTTTCACTATCATCTCTGTTTGAATCCTAGTCTTTAGTTTTACTTGTTTATCTGTTTATCTGTACATCTAAATGAGTACATGCAAGCCATATGCAAATCTGTACCCCCTCTTGCATTTCCTTTTTGGGGGCAGGGTTGTCAGGGCTCTCCTTCCTCATCATGGGGCACCCAGAGGTTGCATCCTGCCAGGTGGGTGCTGAAACCCAAACTGCTTCTTTGTTTGGGCCAGGTTTTCCTGGGCACTGGGGTTGAATGGGAAGATCTGACACACAGAGACTCTTCAGGCAGCAATTTTGCCCTTGTTTCTCTCCAGACTTGGGGGCCTCTGCTTCTTCTTCCCCTGGCTCCTCACCTTCCTTCTGCAGTGGTACAGCAAGCCTTGCACTGAATTTCCCCCATGCTCCAAATTCTCTTCTTGGGTCAGTGGCTCTCCATGACTGCCTCTTTCTCCACATTCTGCCTCTCTTGACTGGTTTCCTTCCTTTTCTTTTGATGGCTAAAAAAATTATTTATGTATTTGCTTCAATCCACAAGCAGAGCACAATATCATTATATATACAATGGCAGGTTTACCAAATACAAAATTTATGTTGCAGCCCAAACACAATTTGCATCTGTGCTGTGTGATATTATAATGCTAGGAGTGACAATTGTCTTAAAGTCATCATTTCCAGAGAGGTGTCAATGACTGTTAGCCACGAGCTGCAAAAGCAGCAAAGAGCCCTGGCCCCCACTTAAACATTAGCAAATTCATTACAGCACAGACATTCATGTACTACAGTCCACTTCATCAGGAGTCTGCTAAAGCTTGCTTCAAAATAAATGTGTTAGTCTTTCAGGTGCTGTTTTTGCTGAAAGTTATGCACATCCTGCTGCAGCCATTTTTCAAAAGATCCAATGTATTGATGGAATTGATATGACTGTGATGGATTATGGATTCCAAAGCAGGAAAATGCTGAGGCTGAGTTCTTAGAGCTGGTCCTCCTTTCTGCCCCCTGTTAAAGATTTGTTCCTGCCCCTGATCCAGCACCAATCTCCCCTTAAGCCTGTTGCAGTGACTCAAGCTGCTGCCAACCCTGTCTGCAGGAATAGACTGCTTCATGGGGGTGTTGTGGCCATTTTGTAGTAAAATGTGAGTTTTTTCTCTAGAGGATGAAGCAAATCCAGTGTCAGGGGGGAGATGGGGCCAGAGAAGCTTATTTCTCTGCCTGGCATCTAGTTTTCTCAAACTACCCAAGGCTTGAGCTTCATACACAAGTATTTTGTGTGTGAACAAACTTATTTGGGGAAGAAAGTGCTTCTTGCACTTTTGCTTGAAGCGACATCCATTAGAAGCTGCCGTTTCTGGACCATCTTTAAAGGCAGCCCCACAAACAACGCATTGCAGCAATCTAAACCAGCACCTGCTGCATCAGGCCAAAGGGAGCCCATCTAGTTTGGCCTCCTGTTCTGACAGTGACCAAATAGATGCCTATTATGGGAAACCTGCAAGCAGGATTTGA